GTATACTGCGGTAGCTTGTCAAGACAAATGCAAGCGATAAGTGCTTGGATAAAAACGGGAAAGGTGCAGCCCCAAATTAAGATACTTTAATAATGATGGCGAAAAATACAAGGTCGTCATGCACGAATTGATCAAAGCAAAGACAACGAAGATATTGACTAAATTTCGAAAAGTCAAATGGATCGTCCTGCTATTATTGACTTATTCATTGAAGACGTTTTCATGGCATAGCCTGAAACACTATAATGATGGACTAGGGTTTTATATATAAGGCTAGATAAATTTACCACAAAACCTATAACCAACAGAGTTTCTCTGGAAAATTTGTCGTCAATTTACTAAGTTACATAAAAGCGTACGATTATATAATTGCAATTATCCGTAACGCCTTACTGTGCTGTTGTGACGTTCGTAAATTATTCTATTTTTAGTTATTTTTGGAACACGTACAGTGCGGAATATCGTAACACAATGGAAAGAATTTTAAGCTATTTTTGAAATCCTATATATAGGACTCATTAGCGTGCTTAAGTTTACAACCTTTTGCGCAAACAAGGTGAATGGACCGGTAATATTGACATGCATAAAAAATGGTAGATTTGCAAAAATTTGACTACAGTTTTGAATTCTTTCGTTGCCTTGTGAACGATCTCCTGGTCACGTGTGTCCAAAGAAACAGCACCGTATAATGACGTCATTTTGATGTCACATTGGCCTGAGTTACGTCACGGTTTTGTCGAGGCTTTGTGTTTTAATGCCTAATGGCTAATTAATTTAAAGCCTGTGGTTTAACACTTTCAGAATTTCTGTGATCTTTTTTGAAGGATTTGTAAGAAATGTTTCAGGAAACTGATTGAGGTTTATAACATGTAAAATACGTTTTATGAATCGCTTATACAGTTAAAAATTGGAAAAATTGTACAAAATCTCATATAGTAAGCTTAGTTCAATTTCGAACAACCATTTGAACCTAATTTGATTCATAAGCCAAAGGTTTTTTTTTTCAACTGTTTAAAGCTCGCTTTTCCTACATAAGATTTAAATGTAGTTCAAGTTTTCAGACAAGAGCAGCACTTTAAAATGTCTCATTTTCTATATGTCTCGATACACAACGTTTTTTTTAACCGCTTGTTACAAGCTCCAAATCGATATGCGATGCAATTCAATGTATATTGCATTCGTAGCGTTGCGTTTTATTTTGGATCGCTTTAATTACTCGTTAGAAATCACTCGTAGCACAGTAACTACCAATTGTAAGTCTAATGACTGTTTAAGTGAGGCTAATGACCGCCTAAAATGCTGGGTTGTCACAATGCTTTAGCCTCGACATGCTAACGAATTTGAATATACGATAAGGTAGGGGATTTGAAGATAACACGAAGTTTAAACCGTCTTAAAGATACGATATTCACGATTAATATGGCAACACAAGAGGATAAGGCGATTAGGAATACGCCAGACGACTGGTTTCGGATTTTGTGTTTGGATTTTTGAATACTCATTGTGGACAATTAATATCAAACAATTAAAAATGCAGGGAACAGAACGTTTCGAAGTCGCATCTGTAAGTATTGTGCTTTGGACTGATCTTAAGGACCCCTATAGTTTTGGATTTAATGCTTTTCACATCAATAGAATAGCGGGAAAATCTTCCACATAGGACTATCAGAGTGATTCAATGTCAAGTTCCCAGTCAATTGCACTGAAGCTCTGTACAAACCGCGCTTTCCTTAACAAGAAAATTATTTGCTTATGCTGCATTACACATGCATGATCGTTTGTCTGCCAAATGGCTATGATATACTATTTTTTCCTTAGTATAATATTGCTTTTATTGTTTTAAACAGACAAAGGCAAGAAACATAAGATTAATGCATTTCTATTGAATGTTAGTTTTCCGGCTTTGATTTTAGACGTTAATCTTATACTGTTTCATATCATGCTTTACAGTTGGCAAGCCTTGCTTTTAAATTATAGTAGAATAGTCAAACAAAATTGAACGATATGAAATGAACGAGATTTAATTATAAACCGGTGTTTTGACGTGGGAGTTGTATTTATTGCGTATGTTTCGTATGTTACGTTAGGAAAAAATCGCATCATTTCACATGTGGAATTCTATGTGGAATTGGAAAATTTCACATGCGAAAATGTTCATTTCCTGTGTGTGAAATTTATAATATTTTCACATACGAAATTGAGTTTCGCGTTATTCTTTCACATCTAAAATTAAAGGTTTATATTCGGAAATTAATTCCACAACCGAAATAATTATTTCACATGTGAAATTTTGCTCAAGCAATCGACAACTTGTATGTTAGATTAAATTTTAATCTAAGTAAAGAGAAGGGAATCAAACACCACAGCTAAAAAGAACATAATGAAATTAGTAATTTGGTTGTGAAATGTTGTAAAGCTTGGAAAATATAGCCTTGTGAAGTTTGCAAATTTTGTATATGTTTGTATTACGTGCGAAAATTGTTGCCATTTTCGGCTCAAAAATGGTAACAATTTCCGCACGTAATACAAACATATACAAAATATGCAAACTTCACAAGGCTATATTTTCCGTATTTTACAACTAATTTTTGATCTAGGCAAAAAAAGTAAATTCCCTAAAAGAACGTATGTTATTCACGGTTAATTCATGCCTATGTTTTAAGTACTGTAATATCTTTTAGTACGTTTATAGTTTGAAACAGAGGAGAGCCTCGCATGGGACTTTGAGTTACATTAGCATTCTTACCGCTTGGACATCGTTCAATAAATTGATTTAATAAGTTCATTGACCATTATTGGGCATGAACACCACGAATGAACACCATATTTGTCATTTTTAGTTTCTAGGTACTTGGAATGACAAGAAATTCTTTAAAGTTCAGTGTAAAGAATCTCTTGAATTCTTCACAATGGAAGTTGTTTCAAAGCAATCCTTTGCCGACCCAAGTTGGATGCAATTTGGAACCGTTGCCGAGTCCCTCCCAAACTGGGGCCTGCCATTTTGTATGGAGCTGAGATTTGTATTCGAAACTCAGCACAAGCTGTACTATATTTTGGATTGTGGCGGCGAAGCTAGTCTAGTTGATTTGATGAATGACGGTTTGCCTGAGCCCACGGTATGTATTATTCGTATATTGTTTACGTACTTTATATTATATGGGAATTTTGACGCTAAGATTATTAAAATTAGTTTAGTAGATCCAATGTTATGGCTGTTTAAAATAAGGAGTCGTTAAACCTATTGACACTTTACACAACAGATGCATGATTCCAATGTTCCATTGGGTGAAAAACAAAACAAAACATTGGTTCTACAACACGCGTAAAAATCACAGCTTGTCAACAAGTTGTGTTCGCACTGCTTGTTCCCAGTTGTTGACAAGTCTGGAACAAGTTGTCACCATCTTGTAACAAGGTTGATGAGGCCAACAGACTCGTAACAAGTCTGATATTGATGATACTCAGAGTAACATCAAAAACATTATATTCACCTGAGTACATAACATCAAACACACACACAAAAAATATCATGTAACAAGTTGACGATAACAAGCTCGTAGCAACTTGTTGTATTAGTCTTGTTGGAACAACTCGTAGCAAGTCTGCTATCGGCATCAACCTTGTAACAAGGTGATAACAACTTGTTCCAGATTGGCTTGACAACAACTTTGTTAGAACTTGTTTGCAGATCTGTGTTTGAATAATCTTAGTGTCAAAATTCATCTCTTAGATATAATTTTTGGGACACTCTGTATACCGTTCACATTCGTATAGGTATTGGTCATAGCTGCTGAGCTGGGATTAGCCCTAGAGGGTCTTCATGAACTTGGTGTAAGCTACAATGAACTGGATTTGGGTCACGTGACCGTGGATAACAGTGGACATGTAGTGTTGTGGCGGGAATTTGAGGGTAAAGAGTATTGGCATATCAGCGAGTGTATTTGTGGGGTCCTAGGAGGAAACTGCGAGAAGACTGAACACAAGGTTAAAAGACGGGGTACGAATGTACCACCGGGACAAAGACACTGGGAGGAAATCTTTCGTGGTGTGCAAGATGATTGGAAGATCTTGGGTGTAATGCTCTGTCAGTTGTTGACTGGTCAGCTGGATTTCCAAAATTTACAAAGGTATTAATCAACTTTATTTATGCAGATTTGACCAGGTTTTAAACTGTCGGTCAGATGGTAAATTACGACCGTACTGAAGGAAACCTAAACTGACCTAATTTTATTCATACTGGAATACTGGATTAACCTTGCTGTCAGATATTTCCCAACTCCGATCCCGAAAGATCCAGTAAAGATCATATTGAGTCAAGGTCATCTCTGTATTGATCTTGTGTTACTACAGAAAGTGACCTAAAATTAACCATGTATTTGGATAGCTGTATCAGTTCTAAACTGTTCTCTCAAGAGATCCAGTAAAGGTCATCTCTTATTGATCTTGTGTTACTACAGGAGGAAATGATCTGTTCTAAAATGTTTGGCAAAGTCGAAGTACTCTTGTCACAGTGAGACCAAATTATAAGACAACTTCTATCAATTATAAGATTAACCTATATCATACGAGCCAATATTCGCTATTTTTGTGATACTGTTTCCCCACGTTTAAGAATCTAGCCGATCGAAACAATGAAAAGCGACTTTTCAAAGTTGTAACTGTAACGATTATACGCGCAACTACAGACACAGTGAAAGGCGCATTTCACGTTACGTGTACTCTCAGACTTGGGAGAAGCAGTACCCCCAAAATGGCGAATATTATACAAAAATATATACTGTGTGTTGCTATCTACCTTCCTATACCGTTTCCTTCAAATGTTTTTGAACACCCCCCCCCCCCCC